AGACAATGTTCATGCGTGCAAGTTTGATTTATTTCAGTTATGAGTATGGTCTCTAGTTGCATCCATTTACCTATAAAAATCTCAAGTTTATCCTTCTTTATAGCTGAGCAGTACTCCATTATATAAAAATGCATTACTTTTTATTATATAAAAATACATTATAGGACCAGGGATACAGCTCAGTGGCACAGCACCTGCCTGGTAAGCACAAGGTCTTGAGTTCGATTCCAGGTTCAAAGAAATACATTATATACATTATCTAAAAGTACATCTTTTTTATACATTCTTCGATTGATGGGCATTTTAGTTGTTTCCAAGATTTAGCTATTACAAATTGTGCTGCTGTAAACATGGGTATACATATATCACTGTGGTATGATGTTTTTAATTCTTCTGGGAAGAAGAATTCCCCCCAGAAGAAGAATTCCCCCCAGAAAGGGAATAGCTGGGTCAAATGGGTCCTCTAATCCTAGTTTTTTGAGGAATCTCCACACTGATTTCCATAATGGGTGTACCGGTCTGCGCTCCCACCAACAGTGGAGAAGGGTTCCTTTTTCCCCCACAGCCTCTCCAGCATTTGTTATTGGTTGATTTCTTGACGATAGCCATTCTTTCTGGGGTGAGATGGAATCTCAGTGGTATTTTAATTTGCATTTCTTGGATGACCAATGATGCTGAACATTTTTTTGTATACTTATTTGCCATTTGTATTTCTTCATCTTAGAAGTGTGGATTCATTTTTGGATTGAGTCTTTGAATTTGGGCGGCCTGATTTTTCAGTTCTTTATATGTTCTAGCTAGAAGTCCTGTGTCTGAGGAACAGTTGGCTAAAACTTTTTCCCACTCTGTTGGTTTTCTTTTCACCTTATTGGTGATTTCTTTAGATGTGTAGAAATTTTTTAATAAGATTAAATTACAGTTGTTGATTCTTTGAAAACTTTGCCATGCAGTTTGGTTTTTGTGAATGACCTCTCTGTCTACCTCTATGGCTTCAAGATTTCTACCTACTTTCTCTTCCAGTAGATTTAGTGTTTCTGCTTTAATATTTAGATCTTTGATCCACTTTGACTTTAGTTTAGTGCATGGTGATAGACAGGTCTAGTTTTAGTCTTCCCTATGGGGAAAGCCAGTTTTTCCAGCACCATTCATTAAAGGTCTATCTTTCTTCCAGGGAACATGTTTGGCCTCTTTGTCAAAGATAAGGTGGATGAGTGTGTTTATAGTTGTGTCTATATCTTTTAATCTGTTCCATTGATCCTCAGGTCTGTTTTTTGCCAGCACCATGCTGATTTTGTCACAGTAGCTTTGTAGTATAATTTCAGGTCAGGGATTGTGATGCCTCCTGCCTTGCCTTTGTTGCCCAGGATTGCCTTTGCTATTGTAGGTCTCTTCTGGTTCCAAGTGAATTTTAGGAATGTTTTCTGTAGATCTGTGATGTATGCTGATGGTATTTTGATCAGAATTGCATTAAATCTGTATAACAGTTTTGGTAGTATGGCCATTTTCACAATGTTGGGTCTTCTTATCCATGAACAAGGGATATCTTTCCATTTTCTGATATCCTGTTCAATCTCTTTTTTCAGAGTGCTGTAATTTTCACTGTATAGATCTTTTGCTTCCTTTGTTAGATTGATTCTTAAATATTTCATTTTTTTGAATGCTCCTGTGAAGGGTGTGGTTTCCCTAATTTCTCTCTCAGTGAATTTATTGTCTGTGTACAGGAATGCTATTGATTTTTGAGTGCTGTTCTTTCTCTTTTTTCTTTCTTTTTTATATTACTGGCAATTGAACCCAGGGCCTTTGCAATGAGCTATATTCCCAGCCCCATTTGTTTGTTTTTAAATTTTGAGACAGGGCCTGCTATGTCTCTAAGTTGCCAGGGCTGGGCTCAAACTTGCATTCCTCCTGCCTCAGCCTCACAGAGTGCTGGGATTGTAGGCATGCACCACCATGCCTGGCTCTGTTTGTCTAGCTTTTAGCCCAATGAAGAGCCTGCCCAGCCTCACATCAATTATGCCCATAATCTCAATTCAGAAGAAAAATTAGGAAGCTGACCCTATTTTGTGGTTCCAGGATATTAATAATTTAGTTAATAAAAAGTATGACCTATTTTTTTCACTGACATTCTTCTGCTCAGTAAAGTAGGTGACCAATATTGGAAGAATATACATTTTTCCCATTCGATGTAGTAAAAGTATAACCATTTTGAATGGGAGAGAAGGGAGGTTTGAGAACCTTTGTCTCAGCCCTATGGAACGCCCTGAGCCAGTGCTGACTCTGCCCAGGCACTCACTGCAGGCCATCTACCAAGTCAGTGCTGCCATCCCAACAGAAGCTTCTCGGGAGTGGGGACAGAAGAACAGGGCAAGGAATTTGTTGCACAGGGTAGGGAGTCTCTCTCCCCATCCCACCAACTGGGTGAACAGGAGCCCTGAGATCTCCCTCCCGCCTCTATTAATGTCTGCAATTCTTCACACAAGTCACATATACTTGTGTGTTCTGCCTTTAGTTTCCCCACCCACAAAACAAAATGGAGGTGAGGGAAAGGGTGAAACAAACTTTCAGGACCTTTCCAGCTCTCGACCTTAGTAATGTTACCAATCTGTTCCCACGAGCTAATTCATAAAATGGATGGCAGAGGAATAAGCAGCATGGTGAAGTGGTGAAGACTGCAAGCTCTGGAGCCTTGAATGCCACTTCCTCCAACTCCTAGTCTTGCAACCTTGGGCAAATGGTGTAACCCTTCTGTGCCTCAGTTTCTTTATCTGTATAGTATCAACTTTATAGGTTTATTGAAAGAATTAATTTTTTTTTATTTTAGAAATTAAAGGAGGAAAATACTAACAGACCGACAATATTTTACAAAATAGCATAGGATCAGTACAGACATTACAGAGTTACAAACAGAGTGGTAGGGAATTAACAGTGCTTATTGTATTACATATTGATATCTTCAATGTAGTTTCTC